CTTAACTTACTTTCCCTGGGCAAGAAATGCAGGAGACAAGTATGGCTCCTGTGGTGTGAGGAGACCTAAGTCAACTTCCTGGAACAGGGATCATTAAGAGGAAGAGAAAGAAAAAAACAATCCATAGCCAGGACTCCATTCAAAGATCTGTGATCTACTGGAGCTGTAAGACTGAAAGCCGATAATTTTAACAGGATGGAATGAAGATAAGGATTCTCCTGAAGGGTCTTTGATTCTGGAGCTGACCTTCCCTCTCTATTAGTCTTCCCTTAAGTACAGACTATCTTATCTTCAAAAACATCTTCAGACACTTCTCTCCAGCTTTTTGGCAGTGATAATTAACCAGATTTTTAAGATTTTTCTCTGGTGGTGATGCGGATTTTATTACGAAGCTGAATGTCCTTATTAATAATGGTTTACAATATTTATGTGTCTAGATGGACACATTATAAGTACAAACAAATAATTGGATGCTGTGAATATAGGTTACATGCAGATTTCCCTCTTTGTTTTGCATTTATAGCTACATATCTACATATTCCACTCCATCAAAATATTAGTCTGGAATATTAGAGTAGTTTACTTAAGATCAGCATAGTGTACTGCAGATTTCCTTTACAAAATCCTTTAACTTGCTTTTCATATTGCATCCACTATTTTTAGAAAAATGGAGAAGTGTCTTGTCTTCCCCCGAGTTTAGATCCTCCTGCTGTTCTCTCTTTTTCTTTAGTGTGACAAACCTTAAAGCTGTAAGGGACCTCTGATGGTGAAGAAACTCAGACACTGGGTTCTGAAATGTACTTTTCCAGAAATCACTTTTTTAACCGCTCTACTTGCTATGATGGTAACAGAAACTATTTCTAGAATTTGAATCTGGACTGTTACCAGGCTTCTGTGCTTTGGCCTGACTGGGTCATCCTTTTCAGTTATCATTTTGATAGATTGAGAATTTGTTATTCATCCTGTTCACAAGTGGTCAAAAGACAAGATGGGCAACTTCTAAACTTCATCTGTTGCCTCTTTTTTACTCTGTGAAGAACACAAAGACTAGGGTTGAGATAATACTGGTAATGTGGGAGACTAACAAAGAAATATTCATTGATACAATAAGGTTAGACAGGCTTTATGTAGGACTGGTCTCTGTTTCCCAAAGAGTCCTTGGCTGTGTCAACACTGGGCTTTGCAAGCATATCTGTCCAAGGAAATCAGCTTGCAGCAAGCTGGAATGATGGTGCAATGGAAACCCTGCTATGACTGCTTATTTGATATCTTTTAAAGAAGAGGTAATCTCCTTTGCTTTCAATGCAAAGGAATTCAGCTTGTGGAAGGAAACCCTCAGTACATACTAAGGGTGCCTGAACACAGAGCCAGTGTGGAAGCCCAACTTTCCGCTGTGTAAAGAAGACTTGCATCTTCAGTGTCCTCAGCAAGCTCTTCCTCTAGAAGAGAAGGTCTTTAAGGAACCCCAGGTGGGTCCCTTTGCAAGGTTTCTTGTAAACTCTTTCCATCTTTTATAGGGGTTATTGAGACTATTACATAACACTGCTATAATCTTAAACAATCTGGGTAAAATGCCTAATTCTCTACTGGCTCAAATAGAATTGTGCCTAGTCATTGACACCTCCACAAAGAGAGTGCCACTTAAGAATTCTCCACTTTGCTGCAACACTGATAGGTTTTGGAATCATGTGTACACTTTGCACAAGAATAAATAAGTGAATAGTATGGAAAGCAGGAGAAAATCTCCCTTATTTTTTTTGGTTCTGTGTGAACCAAAGAGAGAGAGAGAGAGACAGTGGACCAAAATCCACACCTTAATTTCTTCTCTAGAAGATTGGGATATATGCTTGTATAATTGTCATTTCCATAGAATTTAGGATTGGACTCTACTCTTCTTACAAATTACCATCTAAACCAGGATATGAATAGTTCATATAAGTAGAATCTCTTGTAATGATGATTTAAATTATTTAAATTTTGATTCCTTCATACAGTAGTGAAAAATATAGTTAATCCAGTCTGTTATAAAGTAATTTTCATATCTGCTCATTTTGTTTCACTTTTGATATTTTATTTTTCTTAATTTAAAGTAATTGACATTTATTTGGATAAGGAATTCTAGGGCCAGAAGTAAATAATTCCCTCTTGGAAAAGACAGTTATGGGCTTTTTCTATTATTTCTTCTCACAAGAAGCTGCATCCACTAAAATGAGTGACTGTAGTCCTATTAAAGATATGACAATACATATTAACAGGCCTGTCGTACACCAGGAGGAACAAATCTTGCTATATTTTTCTTCTGATATAATTTGAAGTTACAATATTTTAATTTCCTTTCGTGAGGTTATGGAACAGATTAGGGAAGCACTGATTTCGTGATTATGATTTCAACTGCTGATTAAGATGGATAGGCAATGCGAGCTTTAGTTGAACTTTTCTTTCTTGAGCTGCTATTAGCTTTTTTAAACCAGGGTATTAATAACCTCATCAAAAAGTCCAAACACTGATATTGTGTGTGGGAGACTCCTGCTCAGGATGCTCACAAATAGGAGAGTATATGCAGACAGACAGGAATTTGTCCATAGAGAGAGGGAACTGGTGTTTCTGTGGCTTGAAAGGATGGTGCAGGGCAGAAGTTTTACAGCTCCACACATCCTGTGCATACACACATTACTTTTACATAAAGAGACAAAGATATCTTTATCCTCACAACAGATAGACAAACAGACTGACTGACTTCAAACTTGCACTTTCAGTAGAGATTTTTTTCCCCCCATCTCCGGGTACTGCTTTTCAAAATTGCCTGAGGCTACAGTACAGCACCTCAGATCCCCAAGGCCCATTGCCTGGCTCCTAATAGCCACTCTCCATCTGTGTCACATGAACAGCTGATGAGATAGCTCCAGTGTCTGTATTTTGGAAAGCATATCCACCCAGGTTAAAATGCTGGGGTTGCCAAGGAGCAGTCAGAAGCCATTAGTGTTTGTGAGAATTTGCCTTGCAGCAGTTCCTTGGCATAGTGGAAAGTGTGTGTGCTTGTGTGTGTGTATGTGTGCGCGCACGTGTCTGTGAGAGAGGGGTAAGGTGGAATACATGGGGAGGAGGAGTGCTTTCTAAATAACCCATATATTGAAAAAATAAACAGTTGGTTACAGTGTTCAGTTTCCATAATCTCTTCAACCAGTTTACTGTGATTTGACTCTCCTTTCTCCATCGTTAATAGAAGAAATAAAAAAAAGGACGAGAAACACAGCAGTGACTTCAGGGTCTTGCTCTGGTGTTTGGGCAGATGGAAAGGAGCTGCACTGCCTTGGGGCAGGGTGGTTGTAATGAAGTGGCCTGTCAGTCTGTAAATAGTGAGGGTCATCTCTTCCATGTGATGGAGGGTATCACATTGCAGTGAAAATGGAAATGTCAATAAAATTAATCTGCCAGCTCTTTGCTGTGGCTTTTTCTGTTTCTCCAGTCCAAAAGGGTCAGTTTTTCAGAGGGGATGCAGTACAAGAAGGGTGATCTGGTATGGGAGTGAAGATGGAGCTGAAATGCAAGTTTTGAAGCAAATGGACTGTATGCAGCAGCAATGTATTCCGTTTAGTAGCACTACAGATCTAGACGAGGCTATAGGAATTAGCTCATGAATCTATAGCATTCCTCAGGAAGCTATGGAGCGTCTAGCTCAGGCTACATTGAGCACAGAGTTTATTGTTTTAGGCTTTCTTGGACAAGGTTTTTACTTAGCATGGGATTTATGGCATTTACTGCTAATGAATGTCTATTCTTAAATTACAAAAACCACCATCTCAGCACAATTCCCAGATGTCCTTCCAGGACCTCGGCTTCTTAAACACCAGCAGGGAGCATAAACTCTCCACTTCTCTGTTTTCCTCTTTCGTGTGGCTCCGGGCTAATGATGTGTAAGGAAAACACAGCAATCTATAAAGTCTCAGTGCTGTCCCAGTATTCTTCATTTATTTTGCATTTGATTATGCCACAAGTCGGATCTTGTTTCTTTCCTTTTTTTAAAGTTATTAGTTCAAATATTAATGTAGGAATATGGCATATATTGCTGCTCTTGATTGATGCCTTCCCAAAAACAGGAAGACGTGCTCGTATGAATTTTAAGAAAGTAGGGGTCCTGCAATGCCTTGCCAGAAGAGTTTTTCAGATACATAATTTAGATGCCCTCCAGGCAGGCTTTCAAGGCATTTTTGCTGGAGGGCAAGAAAAAATAACTATGACTGTTAAAAGTAAATGATTTTAGCTAATGCACAATTAATGCCAGGGAAAAGCACAGAAGAGAAGGATGTTGATGGAAAGTTCTGATTAAGTGAGAGCTCTACCTTGATGTGCATCTTTTTTTTTAATGATAATAATCACTGATGCAGAGATGTAGAAGTTTTCATGTCATGCAAATGCTATATGCAGGGTCACACTAGGTGTACGTGTTTGTGAGTGTGTGTGTGTGTGTGTGTGTGTGTGTGTGTGTGTGTGTGTGTGTGTGTGTGCTGGGAGGTGATGGTTACGGGGAGGGGCTCATCTGACAGTGTGTTATGTGCACTGAACGGTGACATGGTTACTGCCACCTCTGCAGAGGGCCTCGAATATATAGACTACAGAACATTTAACTTGATTACTTATACGTACGTATTCAGAATGGTTGTAGGGATGCATTTACAGTAAATGGGTTTTCTTGTGGCAGGTTTTCCCACATTGAATCCCATAATTGAAAAAGAGCTACTGCACTATGTCAAGCACACAATTATAATTGAATTAATGATATATGAATGTGTGAAACACAAAATTAGTATTTGGAGAGACACGGTTTTCTAATTTTTACATATTTGCATCGACATTCTTTTATAAGGAGAAACAGTATGTGCCTGATCTAACAAATAAAAACCCCCCAAACTGTGGTAGTGTCTTGGCAATTAATGATATTTTTTGGTTCTGTATTTGGTTCATTAAACATCTCCTCCTTCCTGTTTTTCTCTTTGCTGTAGGTGATGGTTTAGACAACAGTGTAGCCTCACCTGGTACAGGAGATGATGATGACCCAGACAAGGACAAAAAGCGTCAGAAGAAAAGAGGCATTTTCCCCAAAGTAGCAACAAATATCATGAGAGCGTGGCTTTTCCAGCATCTCACAGTAAGTGGTGACCAAAACAAAAATAAATTTCTATTCATGTGCCTAATGAGGTTTATTCATCATTTTTAGAAATAAATTATCCCCATATTTTTGTGATCATTATTAGGTCTCAGGCTTTGTTGCATTTTTTAAATTACTTTTTTTTTTCCTTAGGTCATAGAATCATGACAAATCTCAAATCTATCTATCTATTTATCTAGCTATCTATCTATCATTTCTCTCTCTCTCTCTCTCTCTCTCTATATATATATATATATATATATATATACATATACACACATATCTTATAGAAAGAAAGAGAGAGAGTACAACAATTTCTCAAATTCCGCCTTAGCACGGAACATCACCTATATACGAAGTAACCATTTTTGGCTTTAAATTATTCAACCTCTTCCTATGGACAGCAAGAGAGGGGTTCTTACTTTAATACATACAAAGCTCTACCTTCTGGATTCTTTGTTGCTGGCCTCTGTTTACACAAACTTCGTATGTATGTGGTGAAAGAGAGAGCCCTGGTCTGTGTGTGTGCGCTGACATACACTGTGGATGTTAGAGAAGTCAAAGTAGCAGCTTGCAATGTTATCATTGTTACTTTTTTGTGAAGAAATAAAGAAGCCTTACAGATTCCCTAATTTTTCAGTTGTGTAACCAAGAGAATAAGTGCCTTTTTTGCTTCTCTTCAAGTCCATAGATATTAAAATCTGGCCATATTCACATTTAAGGGGAGAGAGATTAAATATGTGAAATAGCAGTGCTTTCCTTGGGCTTTTATTTGTCTGATTGTTATTGGTTTTGTGTTGGTGTTCTGTTGACTATTATAGCTTCACATAGGCATCAAAACACAGTTCCACAGAAAACCTAGTAAACCTAGTTTACTTCACATGGGAAATTATGGAATCTGGCAAAATTATCAATTTTCTTTTTTCTCGCACTTTGAAATTGTTTCTTATTTGATAAGGCTTGAAATGCTAACTGTTATTAACTGCCTCTTCTTCTACCAAAGTTTTATGAATTTCCATGGTTTTATAAATTTCCTGCTGTTGGTTACAGTGCAATGATTCCAGGACCCAATTTATTTATGACAGAGACTATCGAACTGCTCTGCCAGCAGCACAGCTAAAGGGGGGAGCGATAGATTCACATTTCTAAACCATCATTTTGATGTAAGGACATTAGTAGCAAACTAAGGTGCATTGATCTGGCCTGTGGGGTCAGGATTAGCTGGAATAGCCAGTGTCTCTGCTGGAGTAGTGGTTATTTCTGCCTCTCAGCTATGGCCATTTCAAAGGTCAGGTGCCCTGTACCCACTTGGCTCAGAGGAATTAGACAGAACATGAGTCTCTGGGCTGATTACTTAACCAAAGACAAAATAATGAGTCCTAAGCAAATACTGACTAATTGAAAGGGCTGTAAATCCATTACATATTGGTCAGGGATAATCAGGACTATTTAATCACTTTTATCTATTCAGGAGCACTGAAGCTGCAACAGCAAAGCCCTGAACCTTGCCATGTGCTTATTATTCTCATCATTATCAAAATTACTTCACAGCTGTTCTTTGCTACATCACCTCAGCTGGAGATTTACTAACCTGTAAAATGTTTTTAATTTGGAAGTCGAGTGAGTGCGAGTGGAGGGTTTTTCATTTAGCTGTAGGGTATCTTTAGACGAGTAGTACAGGCAGACAGCAAAAAGCAGGGCTACAAATAAGTTTGGTTTGTAGACACCTCCATGTTAACTCCATTTCCTCCTATGAAATTTGTGTTATCTATTTTTTTTTCCTTCCTGCCTTTGTTTCTTATGTGCTCCTTGAAAGCATTTGACATTTGCTTATTAAACAGTCAACTGCCTCTTGCTTCTCTTGAGGAAAGTCCTTCTGGCTTTTTGAAATCCCTTCTCCTTTTTTCTATCCTGTCTCTCCTGACCCTCTCCATCCTGCATGAATTAAAGAAATTTGCCATCACTGGTGAGGATGGCCTCACAAAAATCAGATTAAATGAACACAAAAAAGCCCCAAACCTTTTACCATCCAGGCTTTAATGAGTTTGCAGGTGTTGAAAGATTTACTGCGCTGTAATTCTCAGACCTGCAAACTGATAATGGAGACCCCTGACCAGTGCAATGTAAATTCAGAAAGATTCTTGCCATAAACACATGCAGGGAAGGAAGAAAACTCCTTTCTTTTAAAGATCTCACACTTTTTCTCAAATTAGCTTGTCCATTCAAAATCTTACTCTGGCTGAGCCAGAACGAGGGAATCTGTGATGTACAATTTTATTGTTTCAAGTAAATATCTTTACAATGACAGTCCATGATTCAATGTACATTCCTTCATTACTACTCTAACCTTATTTCAAATTGGTTTGTGCCTCTTTTGTCCTGTATGACCTGTTCTTGTATTACAATAATCCCCCGATGTACCCTTTTTTCTTTCTCTCTCTGTCTCTTTTTTTTTTAAGAAACTAATTGAATTATCTCATTATTTTAATTTGTTAAGCAAATGTATTTTATGTCTCAGGATGTGTTCTTAAAGAAGGAGCTGCTTAGGCTTTGCCCCCTGAATGGGCCATTGGTACATTTTGACATTCATGCATTCATTAAGGAGAGGAACATAAAAGAGCTCTAGTTGTATTTTTTTTTTTCAAACACCCAACCAGCATGGAGCAACTTTTCCATAAGCCACAGGGGTCTCTCTACATATGTTCTCAACTGCAAGCCATTGTCACCTATTCTGAATACCTCAAAAGGACAAATAAAATACTAAAGGCCAACTGTAGCAATTGTTAGCTGTTAGTCTCAATATGACAAAAATCATTAACCTCTGATTTCCCTGGAAGGAGAGGCAGTGGCAGTCCATCTCTTCTGGCATGGATTAAATGTAGAAGTCCTTTAGACTGTCAAATTCCAAGAGAGTAACTCCGATCTGACTAATTGTATTTACTTATGATTTTAAATAAAATGCTATTTTTTTCCTTTATTCAATCAGTTTGCAAACTCCTAAGGCAGCCAATTTTAAAAACTGAATGGCCTAAGTGGCTTTTTTGAAGAGACAGGCACTTGAACTCTGATGTAGAATGAATGTGTCTGACAGGCTGCATCTTTCAAAACAATTTCTAACCCCTATCACAGCTTCCATTTTGTAGTAACTTTAATTATATTTGAAATAGGATACACATGCATTTTTTTATTGTTGGAAATCAAATGCAAAGAGTAGGAGCTTCTGTCATGTTCTTGTTCACTTAGTGAGCTCTGTCTTACATTTGGAATTACAACACTACCGGAAGATAAAAGATCTGAGGATGAATTGGTTGGAAATGTGTATGCTTTTTCTGGATAATATCCAGTGTTTAAGAAAGTAGAGGAAATCCTAGTCTGGTAGTATAATCTTTTCAATAGTACATAAAGATTACAACATCAGAAAGGTAAACCTGACATTAAGACTGTTTTTAGTTGAGTTCAAAGGTGGTTAAAAAAAGAAACAGCAAGAAATCTGACCTAAGCTGAGAGTTTATTCATAGCTTTGGAAGACTCCTTTTCCTCTATGCTAAGGAGTTCTTAGTACACTCAATTAGCCTCTCAGACATCACTGCTTTCCTCCCTCAAGTGCTCCCCTATTTGCCCAGCAAAGAACATATTTGATCATGAAGTGAAAACAGGAAGTGCTCAAATGTATAGATACCTCCAGCTTACACCAGTGCTGAAATTAAGATTTCTTACCAGCAACTATAGAGCCTGTCCCCTTCCTCCCATGCCCTTCTGAAGGATGGAGGACCTTTAAAATACCCATACATAATCAGAAGAGAGAAAAGTTACAAAGGAAGTAATTATACCACTCTATAGGCTTGTACCTCTGGTAGTTCATCCATTTCTGCAGCAGTGTGCCAAAGACTACATTTTTGCTACATTCAACATTTTTTCACCTTTTTTTACCGAGCTGGTAGAACAGAGTCTCATTTATGCTTTGACACTTACCTGGAGTGATGCCCTTTGTTAAAATTCTATTTCGGTTGGTTTTTTTGTTCAAGTCTTTAAGGAGATGTGTACCATAGCTAAGGTACCAGACTTAGCAGTAGTAGCTTGCAAACTAAAGCTTTCTTAATGAAAGTGCTTAATTCTCATCTGATGGTATTTGGGATGTCTCCCTAAAGCCAAAGGAGTTGAGCTGGTTTTCTGCTTTTTTTTTTGCTGGCTGAAGTTCTGTCTTCTAACTTTAAACAATGTCATTTTAGCCTGATTTCCACCTGGCTGAAGATCTGGCTCTTTACACAGTCTATTGTAGAATATTTTGGTTTTATCTGTTTCATTGTCAGGCTAGAGTAAGTGCTCTTGGAAGGTGGTAAAATGAGCCAACCACAGCTTTTGTACTTACCTGAATTAATTTTCTTAACTTGTCATATTCAGGTGTCCAGATTGGATAATATGAATAGTCTTACTGAAACAGATTTTTTTATGTGTTTATGTGGGTGTATCTGAGAATAAAATGTGTATATATCACATTTTGATGAATGGCTTATCAAGCCTTTTATATAGGGCAGCTATTTTATTTATTCATTAGATTTTATTCTAGAGATGAATGTCATTAACTAAAGCCAATCTTGGAGCAAGTGTTCAAGGAAGTTGAATCCAACCACCTTCATAAATATCTCCTTCCATATTTTATTTTAGTAATAATACTTTAAAGAAAGGTTACAAATATATTTGCACTCCACACTGAACATCTTACTTTCACGTCAAACTGTTGAAGAACAGCTTTACTCAGAGATGTGATCTGGGAGAAGCATTCTTCACATTGTTGTTTTTGCTCTACTTTAAAAAATCAAACCTGAAAATACAACAGTTAAAATGTTAAAATATCCAGTTCAAATGGCAAGAAGAAGGCTGGGAGACTCCAGATAATACAGGAATGTGCAATCATTCTAATGAATTTTAGTGTGCATGTTGGAGTGCATTGTAACATGCTATACACTCCAAGGGTGCACAGAGAAGATGGGCAATGTTCT